CTCATTCTTCTAACAGATGTTCTATTTTCTGGAAGAAAAGTTGTAAGTGTCCATTCGGTGGTCTATATACTGAATGTATTACAATTGTTTTTTTTTTTTTCTGTAAATGCATACTTCGCCTGCAGCGCACTCAAACTGATTGTCATCAGAATATTTTTGAAATTCTTCTAAAGCTTTCCGCTGTATTAATTTGTGTATATGAATGGCAGATCCTCCATGGTGTCTTTCAGGTCTCGTCTGCAGAAGCTTGACAGGAGGTTGTAGTCTTTTATGGGCAGATGTTGTAGTTGGCTCTCCGATTTGCAATGTTCTGTTAGGCAGAAAATTTTGCAATCTTTTTGTTTGTTCAGTTCATACTCTATTTGGTCTACTGAGTTGCCCAGCGATTGCACATTTTGGTGGATTAGACTAATGGGAAAGCCTTTATGTTTAGATTGATTTTTTTGATGTCTATTAGTTTTATTTTTTTGGGGGACAATTTATTCTAAAAAAATTCCACAGCTTCTATTGTGCATTTCAAATTTGAACCTTCTAATGCCGACGTTTGGTGGCCAGATAGCCGGAGAGCCAGCGCCGAAAAAATTCTCTGAATTTACTTTACTTTTTTGGTCAGTTGATTACAGTATTTACGTACATAAACATACCTCGGTCAGTCAAGCGAAACTTGGGACAAGGACCTAGGGTGTCTGGTTAAAGTTGTCGAGATAGCTAGGTAATGCAACGAATTTACTAAGGCTGAAAATTGCTATACATTATTATTTATAACACATAACTAACAGTGATGTTTGTCAGTCAGTTGAATAGCGGAACTGGGCCGGTCATTCAGCCCCATTGAGGTAGTTCAGCCCCAATTTATGTAAAAAAAATAATAGGTCTATTTTTTTTTTTAGAATGACAGCGTGACAGTGACAATTCAAAATTGTAGGTTGAAGTTTAAATTAATAGGTTTGTTCAGTAATATTAATATTTTTTGCAGATTTTTACATTTATTAGGGCTGACTGACCAGCACGGTCCCGCTATTCAACTGACTGACTAACACTACTGTTATTTATATGTTATATATAATATGTATAACGATTTTCAGCTTTAGTAAATTCGTTGCATTACCCAAGTTATCTCGACACCTTTAACAAGACACCCTGGGTTCTTGTCCCAAGTTTCGCTTGACTGACCGCGGTATGTTTATGTACGTAAATACTGTAATCAACTGTCCAAAAACTAGCTTTATTAAATTCAGAGAATTTTTTCGGCGCTGGCTCTTAGACTAAGAAGGATGGTTCATACATTTCATCTTTTCTAGTTAGGGGTGCTGTTACTACAAAGCTCTTTAGGTTTGTTTGTGTGACAAGTTCTGACGCAGTCAGCTTCTCAGTCTTGAAGCCTGCCTTTTTTCTGATGTGTTTTTCTATCATTTCTTTGGTCACATTATTGTTCACTAAGCCATACTTTTCGTTCGGGTCCTGCAAACCCCTCTTCATTTATTGTCCCTGTTCCTATCCTTTTTCTTCTGTAACGTTTTCGTGTCACTGTCGTGAAGCCAGTGTCTTGGTTAGTTTGCCCATCATCGCTGCTTTCTTGTTGTGTTTAATTTTCTTGCACTTGGAGTGTTTTTGTTTTGGTATTTTTCTCCAAATTTTGGTTGTGTTGATTTTGGATTATATTCTGGTTTGTTTTGGTTTGTGTGTTCAATTCTAGGTTATGTTGTAGTCTAGCCTCTCTTCAATTTTCCTTGCTGTGCGGCACTTGGACAACTTTTGGAGTTAAATGCGTTTTCTCTGCGTCGAATGCAGGGTTCCGGTCGGAATAATTCGCTACTGACGTTTGGCTTGTTTGTTTTGGTTTTGATTTTTCTCTAGATTTGACACACGTTTCACTGGCAATCGCTTGTTTTCTCTTAGGATACTGTTACATTCCTTCGGGATTTTTTACAGAAACCAAAAGGTGGGTTCAAAAGAGAACAGTGAAACGTCACATATTGATAAAGCAGAGTAATGAATGCAATCCAAGTGAAAATGCAGAAGAAAAACCTAAGAACTCCAAATGACACTTCACTTTGAGATCCTGGAACCAAGGCAAGGTTATCGTTATAATGGTGACACTAGTAGAGAAAAGTGACCTGTACCTACTATAGTAGAGAAACATTAAATTTATTTATTGCATCGATTATGGGGACCTCTGTAATCCGACGACCTAATGTCACCTGTCCATTCTATTTGCTTAACTCATGCCCCATTTTAATTGTTATGTGTACCTATTTCTTCAACATATTTCTGTCCAGAAACATCCCCCCAGCTAGTAGTTTTCCAACTTGCAAATTCCGCGTGACGCATCTGTCCAAACATTGCCACCCTGTCTGTAAGCGCCGCGGCGGTGGTCGTCGTATAACGGGACGCCCTCGGGTGCAGTCGACAGACCGCCGACAGGTTTTGCTCTATATTTTCTACTCTACGCTCCACTCGGCGTCAATCTGTTTGAATGGGGCGCTAAAATGGGATTTTATGAGCGGGGCGTTAACTTTTTATTATTCGGGGAGCGTGTGAGAGGTAACCCTTGGTGTTTGGGGATATTAACGGTGATTTTTTTGGTCAATACGTTCAGAATTTTTGAAAAAAAAAATAATGGTATTGGAAATAAATGTCCTTGATTGAAGAGGAGAAATTTCAGATCTGCTGCCAGAACTAAATCTGTTTGGAAGTGTCCAGGTGCTGAATCAAGGAGGCCAAAAATACCATGACAAGCGAAAATTTTACAAAGAGAGCAAGCCCAAGAAAGAACTATTTTTGCTATACATTTTTGCGGGAAACGTTCTCTCATAGTTTCCTTTGCAGATGGGGCAAATTCCGCAAATATCATACGGATCAGAAGTTTTCAGAAAAATCCAGACATTTTTGCACATCGTGGAAACTATTTCAGTTCCATTTTCCAGTTCTCGTGTTGTTGCTGTTGCAAAAAGCAAGGTCAAGCGCCGTCATCATCAGTGTCGGCGTCGCGGCGCAAAACGGATGGAGGACGTCGCGCGCCGTGGCGGTGAATCGGATGATAAAACAAGGATCGATTTTGCCTCATTTCGCCGGTTGATGTGGCCGTTTATCCGGCGTTTCTTGCGTTGCACTGAACAAACCAAATTTTGGAGGATTGTTCAACACTGGTTTTAGATACCGGGCAATAAATGTGCTTTTAGAGTTAAACCGAGATGATTTTTGGGCCTGTTCTCAAAACGATCCATGATATTTTTTCTGAATTTGGGATTCCAAATTATATCATATCAATTATTTTTATGGAATCGAAAAAGAATTTGCTTCTCCCATTAATACCATTGAAAATTTAATTTTGTAACAATAATCGATTATTAAAATTTGTATTTGTTGAAGAAAGCTCTTAAGCAAGTTCTTGCTCTCTAACCAATTTACCAATAACATCTTATATAGTTACCATCTTGTAAAACCCCACAGGTTGAAGAAGAAAATCTCGCTGATTTAGCCAGCATCACGAAGGACACGGAGGGTATATTCAAGAAGGCGACCTTTCCGCGCGGCTCTCTCATCTTCTTATTGTGGTGGGCTTTGTCACGATCTCGTTGTTACGTAGCATCTTTTCAAAGCTCGGGTCGTTTGCCTCCGAACCCTGGTTGGCGAGTTGAGTCTATCCTCCGCCATTTTAAGAAAGCAATAATCGGTCCAAACATAGATGCCAATTATTCTGTGTAACGTTCGTTCGAGATTGCGAAAACGTTTTTAATGATTACCTTAAGACTGAGACAATGGCAGTTAAAAATGGCTGAATTATAAGCAGTTAAACCAAGATTCAATATTCTTAGACAGTACGAACGGAATTCTGTATAATGCGCTTGATACTCGATATTATAGTATGAGAGGAGAATTATTGAACGATAGTACATGAACCTACCTAAAAAAAAATTTAGATACCTACTCAGGTAATTTTTTTTTATGTGTTTGTATTCACTGGCAAACTTCATATCATTTCACCTTTGCCATAAAACCTAAAAGGAAAGAGCACACTCCTTGAAGCAGGTACTAATCCTCAACACGAAAAACTTTTAAACCCTTAAAAAACACACTCAAGATTGAGATGATATAGGTGTGGTTCCCTACACTGAATGGCCTCTTTTTTATTATGTAGAGGAAATTTGGATCACTATTTTTATATGAAATTCGTGACCTTATTTTTTTTGTTCGCGACAACTTGATCCACAAATAGGGTTTAGAACAACATGGCTGCCATCATCATGGAAGTGGGTCCGTTTTCTGCACTATACATACAATTCCGCTTGAAGATGACGTCACGGGGCAATCTCGCGTGCCGTGTCAACATTGATCGGGTTCAGGGGTGGTTTTTACGCCACCATCCCCTCGCGCCCAGCAAAAGGCCCCCCCGATCCCACGCTTTTCCCCGTTTGTGGGGGGCTAGGAGAAAGGGGGAAGGGGGTTCGTGAGGTGGTTATATAGGGGCGGCGGCCTGATCCCCGGCAATTACGGCTTCCAGATGGAGCCACTGAAAATTGAAAAAGTTTCGCCGTCTCTCTGCATGGCCAACACCCAACATTCAAATGTGAAATGTGCCATGGGATAGGATATACACCACGTATACGCTTTAAACAGTTCCAGCAAGAAAATACCTATAAATAATCCACATTTTATTTTATTTTGTTATAATAATTTTTACATCAAAAGATTCAAGGATCTTATATTTTTATTTTATGTAGGAAACACGTATCGTAAACAATTTTTTTTTGTATAAAAAAAAACTATTTTCAGTTAAACTATTGAGGCGTCGTTTATTATTAGTGATCTAAAACGTTATTTAGTCAGACATGGCAAAAGTGCACCTCAACTTAACTTAACATAATTAAACTAGGTAGTTATAAGTTCACATTGTATTTATTTAAAAAAAAATATATATATAGTTTATAGGTGTATATTTGTTAGTTGTGTATTCAGCGTTTCGCGAGCCATTACCTCATAAAGGTCGCTTTTTCCAGGCGCTGGAGTGAAGATGGAACACTTCCAAGCGGCGCTCGACCCCCGGAAACAAGAACTACTTGAAGCCCGTTTTTTGGGCGCTAGGGTAAGTACCAGTATCAATTAAGATCTAAAAAATAGATGAATTTAAAATGTATCCATGAAACTGCTGCTCTTATATTTTGTATACAAACACAGTCGGTAAATGACTTGATATCTACGCAAGTAAAATCATACGTTGTGTCTTTTTTAAACTTTACCAGTTACTGACTTTCTCGGCATTCAAGCCTACACAACATGGCTCTCCCCGTTTATTGAAGGAACTTAATTTGTGTATGCACATGTATATAATGTATATAAATACATACTGAACTAATGTCAACATAATCCTACCTCGGCGCCCGCGATATACATATATTATCTGTTACGAAAACATCGGCTTGAAAAGAAATTGAGCACTTCTCTCTCTCTCCCCAGTCTCCTACACCTCGTTTACTATACTATAGGTATTTGTGTGTGATGATGGTGGAATATTAGTTGCGATCGCTTTATTTTATGATCATTGTGCTCATCATCTAAAAATATCACTTTAAATAACGTATTAGGTGGGTTTGGTCGGTTTTCAAATTGTCTACATCAGATCGCTGAGATTGCCTGAATTTTTATAAGGATAATATGGTTTTTGGAAGATCATTGAGAAATACCATTTAATTCAAACAAACAATGAGAAGAAAAAATTAAATCAACCTATAACCCAGAGTAAAACTTTCGAAAATGACATGGAATGTTATTTGGACATTGACACATCGGATGTTTGGATACAGTATTCTTTCGGTTGAATGCATTCGCATAATGTTAGTTTCGATATACTTATTCGAAAAAAGAACAAATCAAACAGGAAAGTAAAGACTCTTGACGATCTTTTCCGATGTTGTTCAGGCTTTCTGGCGATACCCTGCCTTCTTAAAGATGCTTATGTTTGTTTGATGTTTTCGAAATTAAAACCAATTTATTTTTAGATAGCTACTTGCTTGGTTAAGCAGCCTTCTCAGTTTTTAAAGAGTAAAAAAAAAACATGTATTCGGAAGGCGATGTACCACATATTTTTCCCTTGATTCCGAATAAAAACCTAGCTTTGCCTATATTATTATTCTTTTTCACTTATATAATTTTTAATTCCACCAGGAAACAGGTTTAACTGGTTTCATTTTTCTCTTACCAATACCTTTCAGTACTTACTAGAGGTAGGTGCAACGACACAGTAACAACTTTGTTCTTGACCAGGAGCAGCAAATAACCGATTCATTCGGTCGGTCGTCGGTAACCGAACTTATTTTACATTTTACATGGGAGACGAAGAAACAAAACGCCTCGCAAAATCAGACATTACATTCCGATGAAAACGGCACCTACCAGAGCAAATCGAGATGTTGGAATAAGATACCTAGCGATTAATTGTAAACAAATTCTAATTATTGCAAATTGCAAAAATCAAAATCATGGTACAATTTGTAAACACAAAGTTTTCGAATGGTTTATGGTCAGCATGTGGGGTTTATTAAACATATCATAATTTATGTGTTTATTAGAGATGAGCCTATTTCACCGCGTGCGATGTTATGTTCTATACCCTGTCTTAACATCTGAGGCAATAACGTTTAAGCGGCACAATACAGATTTTAATAAGAGGCGAAAAAAGACTAAATTTTTATTGTGCCGCTGGCTCGTTTTTGTCCTGGTTTTGAGATGAGTCACTGACAATAATCTTGAAGTTAGGCTTCAGCAACCAATCATGTTGCAAATCTAGATGTCTTGAATTGATGATATTATCGGAAAATTCTCAAGCTGTTTGAAAAATTTGTTCATTATTGAAGGGGAGTTCAGACTCATAATACTCTTGAAAATTGAAAGCGTTCTGTGTCCTATGTCTTTCCCTTAAGGCGTTTCATGGACTGCTCTTGCGACTCAAGACAATGCAAGATCGAGTAAAGTCTATCCAACGCTATCGCAACATAATGTTATGTCATCATCACTGACGTGATGAAAAATGATTCCTATATCTTGGACACTCATCGCTGTCCATATGTTAATCGATGTTAATGTTAAATTACATTTTAACAATTTCCATGGCATGATATGACGTCACATAGCGTTGGACAGATTTTATTTTTGAAGGAATTCTTGCAGCTTCCAGTTTAATTTGTGGTAATAATCTTTCAAATGCTCAATAATTAGGCACATCTCTAAATTATAATGAGATAGTGTTCGATACTCGGTTCGATATATTCGAGGGAAATTTTCAGTTAACAAAAAACAAAACAAATACTCAAAATTTACACTTTAGTTATCTAGTTAGTTATCTAGTAACTTTTATATGGTGTAGGGACAAAAGTCTATTTGAAAAAGTCGTGTACACCATCTCACCATACGTCGTAAAAATATATTAACCATCTATAATCTTCCGGTAAAAGTTTAATGTGATAGATTTCTGGATGTCCTGTTGTGATATTTTTAACAAAGTTAATAGGTGTTTTATTGAATCAGCATTAGATAGAAGGTTATTTATGATCCGATTATACATTTACAAAAAATTAATGATTTATCTCACTTTTTTTTTCTTCTCTCCCTTCTATTTATCCTATTTTCTTCTTCTTACTTTTCTCTCTATGTGTCCGTATCGAATTCGCTTGTTATTATCGATTATTAAATTTTCGTTTAATATTTTTCTGCGTTTTGCTTATAGCACCTGCACGGGTGACTCCATGTTGGAAGCTGCAGAAATGGCCAATCAATCATTTTCTGTCTTGTTTGCTGTGTAATTATTATTATTATTATTTTATTTATTATTAAGTTACCAATCTTCCGGTATGAACAGAAAGTAAAATTGTTGTCCGCGAATGTAGTGTCTTCTAAATGAAGAGCAAAACTCCGTTGGCTATTTAAGAATGTCAAGAAATTCGAATATTCTCTTTTTAGGATTCTTCAAGGATCTTCTTTCTGGCCCAACGTGTTTAGTAGTCCAGGAAACAGAAAGTAATGAAATGGGGAAGCTCTGGAAGATAATTGCAAAAATGATAGCAAAAGCCACCAACGATACCTTGTTGGGTGAAGGAAATCATAGTTTGACGAGGAATGTGAAAATCAGCTAGAAGAAAAACAAACAAGGAAGATAATGACAAACGAAAGCAAAGTAAAGTTGCAAGAAGAAACAAGAAAACTAATAAAAGCAAAGGAAAGAAAATACGAAAGACAAAATTATGAAGCAATCGAAACAGATCGTCTCAATCCAGGCTCTAGAGAATTTTATAGGGCAGGGAGAGGAGTGGTCCTTGATCCTAAGCCCAGATCCATCCCGACATTTAAGAACGATCAATACCACATGATACTCGATAAGGAAGAACCAACTGAGGAAAGTATACTTTAAGGAGCTTCTGAAAGTAGAACCAGAAAAATCGCACAAAAAGACGGACACTACAGCGGACCTACCAGTTAAAGAACTCTCTTTTTAGGAAACCCAAAATTCCTTAAATAAACTAAAGAAGTCACCTGGCCTCGGACAACATACATACAGCTTTTCTAAATTATGAGTAGACACACCAAATTCACAAACTTATAACTCTTAAAAAGCGAGAAGAAAATATACCAAAAAGTTGGAAGCAAAACATTATCGTGCTCATAGACAAAAGAAGAAGGGAACAATCGAATTGCTTCAACTACAGAGGAATCTCTCCAATGAATACTGCATGTGGCGAAAAGTTATGCAGTCAATCTACCCATGTAGCGCTTAATGATGATTATGTATTTAGTAGGCCAAAATAATTCTTCTTCCGCTTTTTTCGACCATCTCTTTTCTTATCTAAAGGTGCATTCACAACGGAGCTGTGATACGTACTCACTTATAGCCTGGATGATCAATGGAAAAAATTATATAATAGGTTCAAATGTGAGCATGCACATCGGAGCAGTGACCATAGCTGGGATGATGCTTATTGCATGATAGAATGAATTTTACCATTCTTTCTCCGAGCAGAAACCAACTGACAAAGATGGCGCATGCCCAGTCATCGTCTCATCCGAAATTTTACTCAAAATGTATTGAAAACTAGATGATTCCATTCTCAAAAATTGATAAACACGATGATCAGCATCACAGGGTATTATAAAAATTGTCAAATCCTTCGTGAAAGACACCGAAACGGGAAATAAGGAGCAGATAGAGAGGAATGGATCTTATTTTCAATTGTGCTCGAATGAAAGAGATGTATCATTTGAAAAGAAAGAAGGAAGGAACAGATTGATGCTTGAAGGATGTGGCTTTTGAACCCTTGTGTATCTAACAACTATTTTCAAATCTTTGAATACTGTTCTTCATTATTGGTACAGAAATATTGCTGACACTTAATGTCATAATAATTTTCTAATTAGGTAATAAATTCAATTCATAGAAATTAAATGTGCATAGGTATTATTATGCAATGTTTTATGCAGCAAAAATTACATTTCATAATATAAGAAAAAAAAAATCATATTCTAGTATCTAGTTGTTGTTGTATCGTCATCATAAGAAAACGCCAATACATGCGCCTTTCTCTTGCATGTTCCTAGGAAATTCATCGATATTATATTTGTAAGCTTTGTTAATCAAACTTATTTATTTTCCTTTACGTGGAGACTTGCTCAGACGCAGGGTGTACGAGCCCTTGTAGATCCCAAATTTCAAAGATCAAATTTACAGTCCGCAACGTTCTTGTCTTAATCTCTTGCGAAGACCGGGCAGTCAAAGATTTTGGTTTCAGTGGTTTTGTCCACACGTGTTATTAAAATACTACTAATCTCATTGAATAAATTTTATCTGCTGGGTGACAAGCCCCCATTACTCATTTTCTGAGTTTCAATGGCTTATGAATGAATGACGTAAACACATCGTAAAACGTAAAACAACAGACGACATTATTCTGCGATAAAATAGGTGGATCGAATTTCAGTTTTTAAGTCTAGCCATCGTAAAAGTCGGTACTACATTATGTCGATAAAATATAGGGATACGCAATTCACAAGCACGTACCTAATTTTTCACTATATTTCAAAAGTTGTGCGTTCTCGAACTTACAGATAGAAAATCAATAGTAGAATACATATCTATTTATTTATGTAACAAATTAAAACATAATCTATTATTTGTATGTCGTCATAATAAAAGAGCCACCCATACTAAAAATACTAATTGCCCAATCTGGCAACGTGGCGTGCTACTAGCCGCCCGAGAGAAAAGAGATTCTCAATTCTCAACGGCAGGCTAATGGAAATCGGGCCACTGCTGATGTTTTGTGTGTAAACGTAACCCGTTGAATTGAAGGCCCCAGACAAGGACCGCGTCACCGTGTAAGTGCGATAAGTGGCGAGCGATGTTGCCGGATCTACGTTTCAATACCTGCCTTAATAAACAGACTCACTACGATGATTGCCAACTGGATTTGTTACTTTTGATACTTCAAACAGGATCAGGGGTCATTTTTTTCTTGCCTGCATGACAAAATAAATGAATAAGAGATATAGAATATGAAGCCTATGTAATTAAAATTCTAATTTCCTCTAAGAGTGGTAAAAATGCGGGGTATCGGCAACGGCGCGCCGCCTTTAACAGCCGCATAACAAGGCGAGCGTTGAACTTTCCAAAGCCGCTTCGCGCACTCCGACCGACATATTAGCGGCGACGGCGGCGTCGATTGTTACGTCGCCGATCGGCGTCGTTCGTTCGCCGGAACAGCCGGTGTGAAGGCAGTGCGCGGGTCATGGACGGTGCGCACGATCCGCCGCTGATAACCAGCAATGTTGTCGGATTGTTAATTTCAATAGGCGGTTCACAATACAAGGGACGTCTAGTTTGTTTTCGTCAATTATTTCAGAATGTATATTGATTTTATTTAGTATCATATCCATTCAGCAAATGCTGATATTGGATCGTAATCACTTCATTAACGACCGTTTTTCAAAGATCGCTTGTTAGTCAGTACGTCTTAAGTTTTTTAGCTAATATACTTTTTTTTTTATTTGCACCCCTTTTTTTGGACTACTATAATATGTGCGATTTTATATTTTCTCCGATCTTGATGTTTCATTCATAAAGATAATTATCTAAGTGACACACAATCTATCCCACTCATTAGACGCAACATCCCCATTTCAAATCGCTCATGTTTCTTCAAGGTAGCTTCTGTGCGGGTTCAAAATTCCACTCCATATGGAAAGGCAGAGAAGGTCCATCCATTCTCAACCTTTTCTACCTTGCAACCTGAATTGAAATAGTTTTAAGTTGATGTTGTTAGAAATTTTGTCATATGTCAAATTCAGTTATTCAATTTACCCATTGGGTGCTCTTGAAACATTTCTGGTATCACTATGCATTAGAAGCAATGTTGTATTGTGAATACACTTTTTTTTCCTCCCTCTACTCTTTCTAGTTATCTTAGTATAAATATGGGCTTCATTCAAAAGAATATCTTATTTCAATTGAAGTAAATTATAGTCTAGAAAAATCCAAGCCAGCATCAGCTTGAATATTTTTTCGCTTTCAAATAATGCACTGTGAACTTCTTTCCATTATCGTATCACAAGCTTATGACCCGCGCACATTCATTTTCAACCCTGAATGAATTATTATCTTAGAAAATCGCGGTATTGCTATAAGCTGCATATTTTAAACTGTACAATAACAGACAGCTCTAGCCAAGTTTTCTATAACATGTTTCAGAAAAAAACAGTCACGTATACTTCCTTGTTTGTCTATCTGGACCTTAGTGCAAATTGTAATTGTGGTGTACCACCTACCCAATATTTTAATTCAATCAAAGCCCATAGTAGAAGTTCTTCTAGTCCTTTATTATTTTTCCATAATATGTTCATAATGTCCTTGTGCTCACATTAACATCCAGTGTACTTGAAAAACGCATATTAGGACAGACTTTATCCGTAAAGCTGGCCATAAATGTATTCGCGTATTAGCCATTGTACGACTCAGCAATTCTCTTGAGGAAAAAAAAACGACTTTTCACCCAACGAACACCAATGTTAGGTTTTTCAGCCGTTAGCGACCATATGTGCAAAAAACTAGAAAGCAAAGATAAAACTACCTGATCTGTGTGCGTGGATGAACCTGCAATCGGTCGCCAAGGCCCAAATTGGGCTGACATTGTATGATTTCCTGCGGGTTCAAATAAACCAGTTTCTACCCTACAATATGTTCATGTTCAGTCTCAACCCCTTGTCTAGAAAACTAATATTCCAAAATTACGTGATAAATAAGAAGTGGTACATTTTCGCCATCTAGAAGAGATATGTAGTTATCTACCACTGCCACTGCATTTTGATAATAAAACATGCCCAATATAATTCCTATATTTTTCTAAATGAAATTCTCTCTGTTACAGGTGAGTGTCCCTAAAGAGCTTCCAGACAATGTTGTGACCGAAATCACTAATAACGGCGTAAGTAAATTTTAGTTTAAAGAAAATAGTTCACATTAAACCTTCATTAACTATACTTTGTCTTTCTCGGACACATAGAACACGCATTTATCGTTCTGCTCCATTCCAATATCAATATCTGTCGTTTATAGGCCAGTACACAGTATCATTATCTGAATGCTAGTTGAATGAAGGAAAAATTATTATTAATTAGTCTATTTTTATCTGTGCTATGGTGGCGCCATTTTTGTTTTCTGTTATCAGCAAAAATTATGTGAAACATTTCATGGGATACCTTTCCAGATTGTTTTTTTTCTAAATAATTGATTATTCGATATTGTTTTCAAATGAAAGGTATGTAGTCATAGTTGGGTGTTGGCTACTGATCCATAATGTGAAAACGTGGAATTTCATTTTTCAATTATTTAACCCACTTTATCGCGGCAACGTCGCAGAAAACTTATTATTATACCTCTATTAGTCGGTTAAATTCGCGAAATCTAACCGAAGCCATAAAATTAGCGATGTGTTAGTAAGTGTCTACATTTACCATTCACCATTTTCAAGGTGGGCTTAAGTTTCAGCAATAAAATAAGTTTTATCTGGAGGGGTTTATGCTTACGAGTGCTACGTCATGTCATAGCAAGATGGCACCAATATTATATTATTATCTCAGAGTATAGTTTGGAATTTTTTTATATTTACCAATTTTCTCCTTTTGGAAACATTTTCGTAATAAGTTATGTTGATTTTAAATATACAAGCTTTTTTTCAACTATGGACCTTAAAATACAATAGTAGTTTGACATGCCTCATCGACTGCAATAATAATTCTGGAAAGAAAGAATACTCAATAATCGTAAGTCTCGGACTAAATTGAATTAGATGTCATTGCTGTGATCCTAGTATATTTGGTGTGAGCACTTAATAGGCATGCAAAGCGGTTTCTGTGTCTTATGGCCCTCTTATCTTATTGCGTGGTTTTATGTGATCAACCTAAATGAATTCGGTAGTAAAACCGCGTCGTAAAGGAGGGCTCAAAGGTTAAGGCTGACATCACCGCTCTCGTCAATTAAAGACCCTTAAAGAGCTTCTCAAAATCTACACGCTGTTGTGAATAATATTCCAGCAAATTTCAACCAACAGAAGGCGAAACTATTCTGCAGTTACTTTCAATTGTCAAACATCTAGACATTTTTGAATGTCTCTTTAAATAGGAGCGCTCAAAACATCAGTAGAAATACGATGCTAATAATGCACAAAATAATACTAAAATCCAAACAGGCATTATGGTATTCAGCTCTTGGAAACGACAAGCAATAGTGATATATTTTTAGGTTTATTAGTCAGTCGGAATTTACCTTAACGACGGGAACCACGATCAAAGACTACACAACGGTTTCAAAGTAAATTTCTGTGTTTAATTGTGAAGGTGCCTTCATAATTTTTTTTATACAGTGATTCAAGATAAGTTGGAACTGCCGCCAATAGAAAGTGGACTTCGTGGCGTGTAAAAGTACACCCAAACAGCAAACAGCTCTGATGGATATTATGCCAGAAGCTAAACGACTGAAGGCCTATGGAGCTACACAAAAGGTTTAAATAGTCTATAGAATAATCTCATTTAACAATTCACAAAGTGAATCCCTATGATAGTATGACGAATCTAATCGGAATTTTTTCCATACCTTGGAAAAAAATTCACTCACAGACATTAGTTGTACAATCCACTGCATTTTCCTCAAGCTATGACGTATCGCTTCTAGACGCAGCTAGAATATGCAATGCCTTGGGGTGTGCTTTGTAAGACAATGAAGAGGAAATCGAGTTTTCTTTCAAGTTGGTTCTTAACATTGGGATCCTTGTTATTAAGTAGGTACTTATTGTCCTTTAAATGGACAGATTGTAAGATATAAAGGGGAGATAATGCGATAAGGCTATTTTATCAACATCGGCCTTACCTCAAAAGACTTAAGACTTAACGTAATTGAAAATAATGACTATTAAGATAGAAGCCTAATTGCCACCGAGTCCTCCGAAAAATATCTATGAGCAGCGGAAAAAAACCTAAAATTAGTAAGGTTCCACCTAAACTAAAATAAAAAGAATTCTCCTTGGAAGTTCTTTTTCCGATTAGTGGTTTTGGAGAAAATTAAGATAAGGACACCCTTGATTTTCACTTGGAATGTCAAGACTAGAAGATTATGTGGCGGTTGACTTTCTTTTAAAGCCAAATTATGTGATGATCAACGCCTCTAGCCAACAGAAAACAAAGAGCTAAACAACTATTTAATTTATACTTTAAATTCACATTATTACTGTAATTTACATTAACATCATCAGCATTTGAGTGGGATTCGTTGGTATTTTTGTTCAATATGTTCAGCCAGCTCTGATTCTGATTTTGGGTTGCGATATTTCTGTAATTTCTGCGGTAATGTTTTCCTGAAGGTCCTGAATTATGTGCAGGGTGTCCCAGCCGAGAGTGACCCATTTTAAATGCTTGTAACTTTTAAACCAGGCGTGCTAGCTACCTGCGGTTTGGGCCATTCGATTTCTCTTGGCCTAAAGTCTTTTTAATAGGTTGCAATTTTTTTTGAAACTTATACAGGGCAAATAGAAAAAAATCCGTTTTTCAACATCGAAATTCTCCACTATTTTTAATGGAACACCTTGTATATCACAACGTCAAAAAAAAGATACATGTTCAAGGTATCCATATACCAAAAGACATCGTCCCCAGAACTTGAAGTTTTAGCCATAGAAAATCAAAATTGAAATCTTGGTATTTTTGCAAACGCATGCAACTTCATGTTGTAGGTACTTGATATCACTATGGCAAACAATTTTGTAACTGTCTAGTTAAAAATCAATTAAGTTACAATACATTTTCCAAGAAAATTTAACGAGTTTCAGAGAATTTTCTTTGGGACTCGTTAAATCGAGATACCCCAACAGTAACAGTTTGGTGTGCAATCTCTATTGAGAAAAAATACAGACCATTTCATTAATGAACCAATGATAACAGAAACTGTATACATTGATATGTTCTTTTTTCCTCAGTTAGGACAGAAGCGAATCTTGGATGATATCTATTTTCAGTAGGATAGTGCCTCCACCTCATTATTCTTCAATAGTAAGAGAATCAATAGATATGACATTTGGGGAAAGACGGATAACGAGGGCTGGTTCTATAGGATGGACACCTTACTCTCCTGACATTTCCACACCTTTTTCTCTGGGGTTATGTCAAGGAAAGATGCTGTAATCCTTTGCTCAAATATCCTGGAAGATCTTGAACGGAACATTTGTAATGTCATTGTAGCGATTCCCCAGGATACGTTACACAATTCATTCAACCATTTACTGATCTATCAATGCCTGGAACTCTGGAACAGAAAGGCTAACATATACACATATACAGCATTTTCTATAGTTTCATGCAGTTTTTATTAATTTTTTATTAGGCAAACATAGATTTCAAGCTTTGTAAATATGCGTTTGCAAAAATACCAAGACTTAGATTTCGATTTTTTATGGCTAAAACTTCAAGTTTTAGGGACGATGTCTATCCGTACATGGATACCTTGAACAAGAATCTTTTTTTTGACGTTGTGATATACAGGGTGTTCCATTAAAGATAGTGGAGAGTTTCGATGTTGAAAAATATTTTTTTTTTAATTCGCTCTATGTATTGGTTTCAAAAAAATTGCAACCTACTAGAAAAAACTTTAGGCCAAGAGAAATCGAATGGCGCAAACCGCAGGTAGCTAGCACACCTGGTTTAAAAGTTATAAGCATTTAAAATGGGTCACTCTCGGTTGGGACACCCTGTATTTGAGAATTATAGCTTTAATTTTTTTCTTCAAGGTTTCGAGGTGCCAAATCACAAAACGTAGAAGGCCATTTAATGTTTTTTCCAAGTGAATATGTCTATTTCGAAATTATTCTCATAAGTTAGATGTGTCACTGTCTTGCTGAATTTGTATACCTTATTCGTCCCATAAAAAGTTTTGAATCGTCGTTCCGTACCGATTTCCAGTAACGTTGCAGTATATCTGGCTTCGAGAAAATACTGTGGGGTGCAGTGCCAGTGGCTTTTGAAGTATTTTCTCACCCCATAGGCTTCAGTTTTGCTATTTGGCATATCCCTCGTATAGATAAAAATAAACTCCATCACGACGAGAAAAAGATCCTCATTCTAACTGCGTCTTCAACTTATCATGTTTTGTTATGCAAAGTTCTTTTTTCTGATATGGAATGAATGACTGTTATCGATGGCGAATTAATGATTTCGGAGTTTTCACAACGCTTTCAATCACAGCAGCAATTTATTTCTTGAGAACTTTTATCTTGTGTCAATATCCTCAATTTTTTCGTTAGCTTTACAATATCTGTTTTAAATGGAGTATCGTTTCTTCTAAATTCCTTACGGCCTATGGTAACTGTATCTGCAATACTTTCCCCTTATTTATAATAGCTTTTCATTATAAAACCCCGAATTGTTGCATCCTAAAACGTTCCATAACTAAACAATGTGGTGGCCTTAACTTCTCAAATGTCAACGAGAGATAACTAAACGAACTCTCCAAATGGCGAGTAATTCATTCAGAAAGCAACTTAAAAACTAAACTCCCGGCAACAACTGATTTTTACACTTAATTTTTACGTGTATATTTCAAAAGATAATTCGACGAGAAACATTTTTGTTGCAGAAAAAATCCCAATGATAATGATAATATGTGTAAAAATGAAGGCCAAGTTGAATACAACTCTTTTTGTAAATTTTGATGGAGATCCAGACTCTGGTCATTACAATTTACATAAGCCATCAGAAGAAATCTATTGTATACCATGCGATAAAATTTTCAAAAACAAGACTGGTTTAAATATCCACAACCGTAAAATTTATATGAATAAATGTTCACAAAATTCTCTATGCAGCTCCTATCCCTAAATTTATCAAGAAACAAGTGCAATGAATGTACAATTTTTATACAAGGAAAAGCAATCTCACCCAA